GTATGTGTGCCAAGTAACACGGGATCCACTCTTAATTCTACAAATGCTGCTTGGGTTTCTTCGGGTTCTGCTTTTCAAAGAAAATTCTAGGTGTGTGTCCCGGATCACAGAAGGGGTCTGTTACAGAGAACCCCCTCAAACACATCCTTACCCGCTCTTTTTGATCTGTGTGTGCTAATTCACACACGCCTATTACAGCAGCCACCTTCTGAGCGGCAGGGATACATTCTTTGTCCACATCTGGAAGCTTCCTTCTTGCTGGGTCCAGTTATTGGCCTCAGGAGACATCTGCCAATCTGGATTAAATTTAACAAAAACATAACTTCATTTTCAGATGACGCTCTGCATTCTTCTTCTTCCTCCAACATGCCTTTCATTTTCCAACCCAGAAGTACCTGCATGCCCCTCTGTTGTCACATCCTACTCCTTTCCCTACTCTCCCTGAGCTGTCACCACACCCTTTCTGCTAATCCCGGCTGCAGACCTCGCCCACAGCCCAGTGGGGGTCTCCGTCTGATGTCCTTAGGCCTCAGCTGCTCCTTCTCCTCCACTCTGAGCCCCTCCTTGCAGGTGCTACCCCTGTCCTTACCCTGTTTCAGAATCAGATACACAAAGAGGGTCTCAGAGTTTTTGTGCTTTTGGGTTTCTGCGGGTACAATTTTTTCAGGACCTTACCAGCCCAAGGATCAGACTATCCTTGCTTCATTCCAAATGACTAAGGCTTCTAGAATGTTTCCCTAAGAAAACACTTTTTTTTTTTCCCTTATCCAAATAGATCTTCCAAGTCAGCTGGCGAGTGGAACAGCAGCAAAAGCCCTAGCTTGGACAGCTCACAATGCTCGCCTCAGGCTAATCTCTTGGAACCTCCCTGTCTTCAAGGGAATTTTCAGGGGGTGATATCTGCCTCCCCGGGCCAATATGGATTAAAACAACAGCCTGCAGGGATGGTCTGCAGAGTTTAGATACCTGATCCACGATACTGTGGTGAGCCCGCCATTCAGTTCCAGCCACATCGTGACTGTCCTATTTTTTTTTTAATATTTATTTTTATTTATTTATGTATTTGGCTGTGCCCAGTCTTCATTGTGGTACAGGGACCTCTCATCTTTGTTGCAGCGCATCTTCCATGTGGTGTTCGAGATCATTAGTTGTGGCGTGCGGGATCTAGTTCCCCAACCAGGGATTGAACTCATGCCCCCTGCATTGGGAGCACAGAGTCTTAGCCACAGCACCACCACAGAAGTCCCGTGACTCTCCTAGTTAAGGCATTGAGTTCTTTATTACTGAATTCTTTTTTTTTTTCAACTTTTATTGGCGTAGAGTTGATTTACAATTTTGTTAGTTTCAGGTGCATACAGCAAAGTGAATCAATCATGTATATATGGATATGGATATATATATATATATATATATATATACTCATTCTCCTTCAGATTCTTTTCCCATATAGATTATTACAGAATACTGAATAAAGTTCCCTGTGCTATACAATAGGTCCTTGTTAGTAACCTACTGTATATATGTTCATGTGTGTGCTCAGTCATGTCCGAGTCTTTGTGGGCCCATGGACTGTAGCCCACCAGGCTCGTCTCTGTCCATAGAATTTTCCAAGTGAGAATACTGGAGCGGGTTGCCATTTCCTACTCCAGGGAATCTTCCTTACGCAGGGATTGAACCCAAATCTGTGTCTCCTGCTTTGGCAGGCAGATTCTTTACCACTGTTCCATCTGGGAAGCCCCTATTTTAAAATAAATAATAGTGTGTATGTATTAATCCCAATCTAATTTATTACTTCCTCCTACATTTCCCCTTTGGTAACCATAGGTTTGATTTTGAGATCTGTGAGTTTGTTTCTCTTTTGCAATAAAGTTCATTTGTATTTTTTTTTATTAGCTTTCACATATAAGTGGTACTATATGATGCTGGTCTTTCTCTGACTTACATAAGTATGACAGTCTCTAGATCTATCCCTGTTGCTGCAGACAGCTATATTACTGAATTCTGATTCATTTGTGTATCCCATCACTAGGGCATCAGCTCCTTAACTTTGGATATTTTGTCTTTGCGTCCTCTCTGCCTAATGTAGTGCCTGGCCAAGTACCTGTAGAATGAATATGCTTAGTCAATCAGTTATGTCTGACTCTTGGCGACCCATCAGGCTCCTCTGTCTATGGGATTCTCCAGGCAAGAATACTGGAGGGGGTTGCCATGCCCTCCTCCAGGGGATCTTTCCAACCCAGGGATCAAACCCATGTCTCCGGCACTTCAGGTAGATTCTTTACAATCTGAGTCACTAGGGAAGCCCCTAGAATGAATAAGTAAGTTCATTTTTACTTAGGATTTAAACCAGTGTTTCATATAAGAATTTAGATGGCTTCTTTGCTCAGCTTCTTTGAAAATATTCAGTCCCACCAAGGAGGCTAAGGCAGTGTTTCTGCTGTGAGGCCCTCTTTCTGGTGCTCAATGCATCTGGCAGTCATCCACTTGGCACTCGCCCCTCCACGGCCTCCATCTCTGGGCTCACCTGCATCTACCCAACCCTCATCCTGCGCAGGGATGAGGTGCCACTCATGTAGAGTATGGTCAACGCCCTCATTACAGCAGCCAATGTGAACGTCAAGCCTTTCTGGTCAGGTTTGTTTGCAAAGGCCCTGGCCAGTGTCAACATCGAGACTCTTATCTACAACACAGAGCTGGTGGCCCTGCCCAAACAGGAGGTTCTGCCCCTACAGAGGACAAAGTGGGAGCAGAGAAAGAAGACTCTGAGGGGTCTGAAGATGACATAAGGTTTGGTCTTTTGATTAAATCTCTGGTGTAATATTTCTATTTTGTAATGTTCAATAAAAAACTGACCTCTTAGAAAAATAAAAAAGAATTTTTGATTGTCAAAGGTCAAAACCCCCCAGAAATATAGCCAAAACTGCTGGCACACAGGAAGGGGTCCACCAGGCAGTGGAATGAACATGCATTGGATAACACATGGGAACATGTGTTCCTTCCTGCTGCCGCTGCAGGACTAGGCTCATTAGATAAGCCCCGTGAAGCTCGGTAGAGTCTGGGTTCTCCAGTCACTGTCTCAATCTCACATCCTGTCTCTAAGTGTGACCCTGTGCCAGTTACTTAATCTCTCTGAGGCTCAGTCTTCTTCTGATCTATGAAATGAAGATATTAACAATACTAACTGTTCCCCTGGTGGCTCAGATGGTAAAGAGTGCCTGCAATGCAGGAGACCAGGTTCAATCCCTTGGTTGGGAAGATCTCTTGGAGAAGGGAATGCCAACCCACTCCAGTATTCTTGCCTGGAGAATTTCATGGATAGAGGAGCCCGGTGGGCTGTAGTTCATGGGGTTGCAAAGAGTCGGACACAACTAACACTTTCAACTTTTTTTCCTTCCTATGTCACAGCCATGTTGAGAATGAAATAAGATAATTAATTAAAAACCTTAGTCCAGGGCTAGTGAATAATAGAATTCTCAATAAATGTCCACTGTGTTCACTATACCACTCTCAAAGGTTATCCAAATGCCATCCATCTTTTACTTTGCTTCTGTTTTCAATGAAAGCTTCTTAAGTTTTAATAACCTCTATTGTTCTCCATTCATCAAGCACTTCAAGTCAAGCACTGACCCTGCTAGGCTTGGGCAACACAGAAATAAAAGATCATCCCAGCCCTTAAATTGCAGCCTCAGGGGAAAAACAAACTGTGTATTTAAATAGTACTTGGTAAGCACAACTGTTGGGAGGGGGTGTTTGCTATGACCAGTGTGTTCTCTTGGCAGAACTCTATTAAGCCTTTGCCCCGCTTCATTCTGTACTCTAAGGCCAAATTTGCCTGTTACTCCAGGTGTTTCTTGACTTCCTACTTTTGCATTCCATTTCCCTGTGATGAAAAGGACATCTTTTTTGGGTGTTAGTTCTAGAAGGCCTTGTAGGTCTTCATAGAACTGTTCAACTTCAGCTTCTTCAGCATTACTGGTTGGGGCATAGGCTTGGATTACCGTGATATTGAATGGTTTGCCTTAGAATTGAAGAGAGATCATTCTGTCGTTTTTGAGACTGCATCCAGGTACTGCATTTTGGACTCTTTTGTTGACTATGATGGCTGCTCCATTTCTTCTAAGGGATTCTTGCCCACAGTAGTAGATATAATGGTCATCTGAGTTAAATTCACCCATTCCAGTCGATTTTAGTTTGCTGATTCCTAAAATGTCGACATCCACCCTTGCCATCTCCTGTTTGATCACTTCCAATTTGCCTTGATTCATGGACCTAACATTCCAGGTTCCTATGCAATATTGCTCTTTCTAGCATCGGACCTTGCTTCCATCACCAGTCACATCCACAACTGGGTGTTTTTTTTGCTTTGGCTCCGTCTCTTCATTCTTTCTGGAATTATTTCTCCACTGATGTCTAGTAGCATAATGGGCTACTAGAGGAGTAGTAGCCCAACCTGAGGAGTTCATCTTTCAGTGTCCTATCCTTTTGCCTTTTCATACTGTTCATGGGATTCTCAAGGCAAGAATACTGAAGTGGTTTGCCATTCCCTTCTCCAGTGGACCACATTCTATCAGAACTCTCCACTATGATCCATCTGTTTTGGGTAGCCCTACATGGCATGGTTTATAGTTTCATTGAGTTAGACAACGCTGTGATCCATGTGATTAGATTGGTTAGTTTTTTGTGATTGTGGTTTTCAGTTTGTCTGCCCTCGGACGGAGAAGGATAAGAGGCTTATGAAAGCTTCCTGATGGGATAGACTGACTGAGGGGGATACTGGGTCTTGTTCTGATAGGCAAGGCCATGCTCAGTAAATCTTTAATCCAATATTCTGTTGATGGGTGGAGCTGTCTTCCCTCCCTGCTATTTGCTGCTGCTGCTAAGTTGCTTCAGTCCTGTCCGACTCTGTGCGACCCCATAGATGGCAGCCCACCAGGCTCCCCCGTCCCTGGGATTCTCCAGGCCAGAACACTGGAGTGGGTTGCCATTTCCTTCTCCAATGCATGAAAGTGAAAAGTGAAAGTGAAGTCGCTCAGTCGTGTCCGACTCTTAGTGACCCCATGAACCGCAGCCTACCAGGCTCCTCCATCCATGGGATTTTCCAGGCGAGAGTACTGGAGTGGGGTGCCATTGCCTTCTCCGCCCTGCTATTTACCTGGGGCCAAACTATGGTGGAGGTAATTAATGGTGACCTCCCTCAAAAGATCCCATGCATGTACTGCTACAGTCCGAGGCCCCAGCCCTGCAGCAGGCCACCACCAACCCATGCCTTCGTCAGAGACTCCTGGACACCCACAGGCAAGTGCACGACAGTCTCCTGTGGGGTCACTATTCCTTTCTTCTGGGTCCTGGTGAACAAGGTTCTGTTGTGCCCTCCAAGAGTCTATTTCCCAGTCCTGTGTAAGTTCTGGCAGCACTGTGGTGGGGTTAATGGTGACCTCCTCCAAGAGGACTTATGCCACACCCACACCCAGAGCCCTCGTCCCTGTGGCAGACCACTGTCGACCCGTCCCTCCACAGGAGACGCTCAAACACAGTTCTGTCTCAGTCTCTGCGGGGTCCCTGGGTCTTGGTGCGCACAAGGTTTGTTTGAGCCCTCTGAGCATCTCTGGCGGGAATGGGGTTTGATTCTAAACATGAATTCACCCCTCCTACCACCTTGCTGGGGCTTCTCCTTTGGCCTTGGACATGGGGTGTCTCCTCACAGCCACTCCAGTGCCTACCGTCTGTCATAGTAAACACCCTCTTCCAACAACACAAGGGAAGACTCTACACATGGATATCACCAGATGGTCAACACTGAAATCAGATTGATTATATTCTTTGCAGCCAAAGATGGAGAAGCTCTATACAGTCAGCAAAAACAAGACCAGGAACTGACTGTGGCTCAGATCATGAACTCCTTATTGCCAAATTCAGACTTAAATTGAAGAAAGTAGGGAAAACCACTAGTCCATTCAGCTATGACCTAAATCAAATCCCTAACGATTATACAGTGGAAGTGAGAAATAGATTCAAGGGATTAGAGCTGATAGACAGAGTGCCTGATGAACTGTGGACGGAGGTTTATGACACTGTACAGGAGACAGGGAGCAAGATCATCCCCAAGAAAAAGAAATGCAAAAAAGCAAAATAGCTGTGTGAGGAGGCCTTACACATAGCTGTGAAAAGAAGAGGAGGAAAAAGCAAAGGAGAAAAGGAAAGATATTCCCATTTGAATGCAGAGTTCCAAATAGCAAGGAGAGATAAGAAAGCCTTCCTCGGTGATTAGTGCAAAGAAATCGAGGAAAATAGAATGGGAAAGACTAGAGATCTTTTCAAGAGAATTAGAGATACCAAGGGAACATTTCATGCAAAGATGGGCTCAATAAAGGACAGAAATGGTACGGACCTAACAGAAACAAAAGATATTAAGAAGAGGTGGCAAAAATACACAGAAGAACTGTACCAAAAATGATCTTCACGACCCAGATGGTCATGATGGTGTGATCACTCACCTAGAGCCAGACATCCTGGAATGTGAAGTCAAGTGGGCCTTAGGAACAAAGCTAGTGGAGGTGATGGAATTCCAGTTGAGCTATTTCAAATCCTAAAAGATGAGGCTATGAAAGTGCTGCACTCAATATGCCAGCAAATTTGGAAAACTCAGCAGTGGCCACAGGACTAGAAAAAGTCAGTTTTCATTCCAATCCCTAAGAAAGGCAACGCCAAAGAATGCTCAAAACTATTGCACAACTGCACTCATCTCACACGCTAGCAAAGTAATGTTCAAAATTCTCCAAGCCAGACTTCAACAATATGTGAACCGTGAATTTCCAGATGTTCAAGCTGGTTTTAAGAAAGACAGAGGAACCAGAGATCAAATTGCCAACATCCGCTAGATCATTGAAAAAGCATGAGAGTTCCAGAAAAACATCTATTTCTGCTTTATTGACTATGCCAAAGCCTTTGTGTGGATCAAAATAAACTGTGGAAAATTCTTCAAGAGATGGGAATACCAGAGCACCTGACCTGACTCTTGAGAAATCTATATGCAGGTCAGGAAGCAATAGATAGAACTGGACATGGAACAACAGACTGGTTCCAAAAAGGGAAAGGAGTACATGAAGGCTGTATATTGTCACCCTGTCTATTTAACTTATATGCAGAGTACATCATGAGAAATGCTGGACTGGATGAAGCACAAGCTTGAATCAAGATTGCTGGGAGAAATATAAAAAACCTCAGATATGCAAATGACACCACCCTTATGGCATAAAGTGAAGAAGAACTAAAGAGCCTCTTGATGAAAGTGAAAGAGGAGAGTGAAAAAGTTGGCTTAAAGATCAACATTCAGAAAACAAAGATCATGGCATCCGGTCCCATCACTTCATGGCAGATAGATGGAGAAACAGTGGAAACAGTGGCAGACTTTATTTTTTTGGGCTCCAAAATCACTGCAGATGGTGACTGCAGCCATGAAATAAAAAGACGCTTACTCCCTGGAAGAAAAGTTATGACCAATCTAGACAGCATATTAAAAAGCAGAGATATTACTTTGCCAACAAAGGTCCGTCTAGTCAAGGCTATGGCTTTTCCAGTATTCATGTATGGATGAGAGTTGGACTATAAAGAAAGCTGAGCACCGAAGAATTGATGCTTTTGAACTGTGGTGTTGGAGAAGACTCTTGAGAGTCCCTTAGACTGCAAGGAGATCCAACCATTCCATCCTAAAGGAAATCAGTCCTGAATGTTCTTTGGAAGGACTAATGTTGAAGCTGAAACTCCAATACTTTGGCCACCTGATGTGAAGAGCTGACTCATTTGAAAAGACCCTGATGCTGGGCAAGATTGAAAGCGAGAGAAGGGGATGACAGAGGATAAGGTGGCTGGATGGTATCACCGACTAAATGGACATGAGTTTGCGTAAACTCCAGGAGTTGGTGATGGACAGGGAGGCCTGGCGTGCTGCAGTCATCGGGGTCACAAAGAGTTGGACACGACTGAGTGACTGAACTGACCTGAAGAACAAACGAGGTAAGCGCTAGTTGGAGAGTCCAAAAGTGGCACCTGACCTGATGGGGAGGTGGGTTGGGCTACTAAATACTGGTGTGAGCCTGAAGGACAAGCCACACAGGCCAGGAAGGCAGAAAGGGAGTCTAGGCAGAAGGGTGACTGTGGGTGAAGCCACAGAACCTTGTCTCAGGACCTGTCCTTGCGCCTTCAAGGGGCTGCAGCCCAGCCTTCCTATGCCCTCCCCCTACCCCCGAGTCCTCCGTCTCTCTTTGGAAAAGTCACTGCCAGTGACAGAAGGAATGGCCATAGTTGGCAGATGGGAGCCAGACTGGCCCAGAGATGCTAGGGGGCTGAACCCTCCACCAAGCAAGAGGTGCGCAAGCAGAACCAAGAGGTCTGGGGAAGGACAATGAGGCACCCCCTCTGCAGACCCAGCAGGAAGTGGAACCGAGAGGGCCGGCCCGACAGGAGATCTAGGGGCTTTCAGCACCAGCCTGGCCCGGCAGGAGATCTAGGGACTTTCAGCACCAGCTGGACACGGCCACCTGCAGCAGCTGCAGCCAGAGATCTACAGACAAGGGCAGCGGAGGGTTCAGTGAGAACATGGGGCCCATTTAGCGTCAAACCTATCGGCAGGTTTTACCAGATTCTTTTACTTGGCGTGTACATCTGAACTGCAAAGTTGGTTCTATTATGACTCTAAACGTGTACTTTGTCCCCCAAAATTAGGTCTGTGAAAAATCAATCCTTTTGAGGGTGAGTATTGTGCTCTTCACCACCAGTAGGCAAAAGTGTAATACAGCTGAGAATTACACAAGTAGGAATTTTATAGTATCTCGTCCTCAGTACACCTGAGGGTTGGTGTTGTGTACAAATTGTAGACTATTTGACTTCTTTGATACTGAAGATTACTTTTAAAATAGTTCACTGTATTACAATAAATTTACCCGAGTGACATGTTTCAGGTCACCAGGGATGTCAGCCTAACAACCCCCAATACTGGCTACTTGACACCAGCCATCTACCATCAGACCCAACCAGTTTCTGCTGAAATGAAATGACATAAAACTATCAGTAAAGCTACATCTAATCTGAGAGTCCACGTAGAAAAGGAAGTTGAGTTGTTGGACATGACTGAATTCAATAACGTCCTTACTTATGAGTAAGCTTGTGCTGGACTCAGTCAGCTCACCCCAGTCTCCAATTATAGTGTAAAGATAGTCAATTTAAAAAAAAGTGATAAACACTATTTATTGTGATTAATAGCTCAGTTTATTAGCTATTTTAATAAAGTAAATCCTTATAGCAAAAACAACTTACTAGAAATAGCTTTTTAAAAGCTTTTTTATGATATGCTTACAAAGGGTCAGACCTAAGTGAAAACATCCACCACAGTGGTAATATAATGAGTAAAGCTGAACACTGCACAGACAGACTGACTCTTTAAAGCCAGATTAGCTTCTCGACACCATGAAGATCATACTCTGAATCTGTATGAGGGCAGCTTCTAAACATAGTTGGTCTTAATTTAATAATGCAAAAATTCCACCTTCTCAGTTATGATCAAGTTTCAGAGAGGAGTTCCTTTGGTCTTAATGACATTTACTCCTGAACCTCGTTGCCTTTCCGATGCCTCTTCATTCTCGAATAGGGACTTATTGTATCATCCGTCACAAAATCATACAGCACTTTTATCCAGGAATTGTAGTGGGGGAGGCTGTCATAGTACTCAGCAGCTATTTTCCTCACCTAGAAGGGAAAAAATATAGCAAGATGAATAATGGGTGTTAACAGAGTCCTATTAAAGATGACAGATGGATGTTTGACATGCACACTCAAAAAAGAAACCATGAGACTTTCTCCTACCTCCCTCTCAAATAAATAAGTAACAGCAGCAGCTTTGGGAATTCTAAACAGAAAGCAGTGTACATTTTAGGAATAAACCATCCTTGACCCTCTAGGATTACTGACTCTTTCCAACAAGCTCTAAGGGATTAGTTTACTTGTAAGTTTACTTGTAGTTTACTAGCTTACTTGTAAATGTGGCACTTGCCATCTTTTAACAACAAATACTTGCAATCCAATCAACTTAATGTTTTTAAATGTCATACTGAATGACTGGCATTGAAGGGTTTAAAGGCACCACTTGACACTGCCATTAAGGAATCTGCCTGTAAATACTGATCAATTATTGTGGCATCCAGTGAGAAACTAATCACTTATCAAGTGTACAATTCAGCCACCTCAAGTTGAGCATGTCTTTTTTAAAAAAATGACTACTGCCAGTGTGATCAGCAAGCGAGACTAGTTAGGGCAGAGTAAAACACTGTTTTCAACAAAATGTGACTGCAGTGATGGTTGTAAGGCTCTGAACAATCTAAAAACCACTGAATTGTACATTTTAAGTGTATGATTGTATCTATGAGTTACATTTCAATAGAGATGTTGAAAGAAACCTTGTTATGCATATCTATTAACTAACCATGTGATCGTTACATGCAACATAATTAGTGCAACACAACTATTGCAGAACAAGGTACTTACTGGTATACACCATAGAACAGGCAGGAAAGGAAGACCAGAGAACTTTGAGAATGTCTGTTAGTTCAGCTATGCATGGAATGGAGTGGGAAATAAATTCTCACTGATGAACCATAAACAGGTAATGTTTGAACTGAACTAAGTTTTCAGTTTACGAACTGCTCAAGAAAATTACAAGTCAAAATATGTGGCTTATGTTGGAAAAAGTGAATTATTTTGTTCAAAGATGACCAGCTTTCTCCTTAAACCATGTCATGTCCAGCTCTTTTTGCAAGCCCATGGACTGTAGCCCACCAAGCTCCTCTGTCCATGAGATTTCCCAGGCAAGAATACTGGAGTGGGTTGACATTTCCTTCTCCAGGGGATCTTCCTGACACAGGGATTGAAACTGTGTCTCCTGCATTGCAGGCAGATTCTTTACCACTGAGCCACCTGAGAAGCCCTAATCTCTTAAAAATACAAAAATGTACTTTCCTAGGCAGGGAAGAGGTGAGCAAAGGTGGGCACACTCTCCAACCAAAATGACACGAAATAGCCACACTGGCACATCACACCAGGTTCAAACTGTCTTCAGCCAGCTGTGTGGTGATTTCCCTTTTTATTTTGAAAAACGCAAAACTGACAGAAAAGTTGAAAGAACAATAAAACCAACACCCATATGCTCTTCATTTAGGTCCACCAATTAACACTATACCACAGCTACTTTCTTTCTCTCTCTCCATATATGATACAGACCACATACTTTGCTCTTTGCTGAAAGAGAAGTTGCAGATGTTATGTGCAAACTTACCCTGAATATTTCACCCTAAATATTCAACACATATCCCCTAAGAAAAAGGTATGTGATCAGTCGTGTCTGAGTCTTTGCAACCCCATGGACTGGTGCCTGCCAGGCTCCTCTGTCCACAGAATTTTCCCAGCAAGAATATTGGGACGGGTTGCCATTTCCTCCTCCAGAGGATCTTCCCAACCCAGGGATCAAACCTGCATCTCCTGCACTAGCAGGCGCATTCTTTGCCACTTAGCTACCTGAGGAGCCCAAGAACAAGGACATTTCCCAACAAAACCATAATACCATTCCACACCCAAGAAACTTAACACTGACACAATATTATCTATTATGTGGTTCATGTTCAAAACTTCCCTGCTAACTCAATGTCCTTTCTAGGTTTTTCTTTCCTCAACTAGTAATCCAATCAATAATCAAATGTTACGTTTAGTTGTCATGTTGTATGCAAGTTTGTAAACAGTCAACAGTTAAAAACTTGAGGAAATCTATAAAATTTGGGTGAGTAGATATGCTAGCATAAAATTACCTGATTATGGTTTCCTTAATCTCACAGCTAAAAAAATAAAAAAATCAAGAAAAACTGATACTACATCTCCTACAACTTCCCCTTTTTAGAATTACAGAAACATTTTTTGGTAATGGAACTGTAAAAGCTATCCATTCTGAGGATGGAAAGTCAAATAAGAGAATTCATCAGAAATATCACTGAAGTTTGGAGAGGATTATCCTTTGGGGAAGGATGACAGGATGAGTGTCAATATGCTGCCTTTCATTTATTCCACAAGCAGTAAGATAAAAGTCTACTGTGACAGGAAATGGATGGTCCCTGCGTGTGGGAAGTCTGCACCACTGGGAACTGATATTCACTTATTTTGCAGAGCAATTATGCAGGGTATCTGTATTTCACAATAAACCAACATAAACTTTAGCTAAGTGTATTCAGTCAGTGATAAAGGTTATGTAAATTTTTGCTGCCTAGACAAGAGGGAATTTCATTTTCCATTTCTGAATTACTTTACATGTCAGTTGATTCTACAGACAACCCCCCTCCCAACATTCTAAACCTTACATGTCACCACAAGGCTTAGGGATCCAGGACAATGAGCTCTGTAAAATTAGGCTGCCCAACTCAGGACTTTTAAGACTCTTGCTGTTTTCTTTGATGAACTGTCTAGATGGACAAAATATACTATATTTCATTTTAAATGAGCAAGTCAAGACTAATTGTGATCACAGAACCATCAGAAATTAGAACATGTATAAAATCCTTTACTTACCAGGGGAAGGCTTTTTCCGGGAATGTTGGGAAAGTCGTGATGTTCATTATGGTAACCCACATTGAAGGTGAGTAAATTCAGAGGCCCATAATATGAGTAAGTTTCATGTCCCTTTAAGAACATATAATGTTCAGCAATAAAATGTCCAGAAATCGGGTGCAAACCTAGGCCAAGTAAGGAGGCTGCCAACATGTAGACTAAAGATTTAACTCCCAAAACATAGTAAATCACGATGTCAAAAGTGATCTGAATCACAGTATTGATTATTTCCAGATAAGAGATTGGTTTGGGGTTGATGAAGAGAGGTCGAAAAGCATAAAAGAGAGGCTGAAGGATGACCCATATAAATTTTCTGAAAGTAGTACAGAAGAACCAGCCTTCAAAGTCGGTTGGAATGTCCACATCAATGCCGTCGCCTCCGAGGTATCGATGATGATCCATGTGATATCTCTTAAAGGAAATTGAATATGGGACACCAATAGGGAGATTGGCAAATATTCCAAACCAACGATTCCACATAGCTTTGCAATGGCCAAAGGCACTGTTGTGGGAAACTTCATGAATAGCCAGAGTCATTGAATGATTAATGCAGCTGCCAAAGGCATATGCCCAAAACAGGACCCATTTCCAGTCTAAGTCCTTTACTAAGTAAAATGCAACAAACTGAGTGAGAACCATCATAATTACAATCCATATCAAGTTGGAATCAGGTTTCATTAAGGATTTTATCTCTGGATACTTTGCTGTAAGGAAAAAAACAAACAAAAAATCACAGACTGAGAAAAGTGCATTAACAGTTCTGCAAGTAAACTAATATCAATTTACACATCAATTAATTTTTTCTAAATCATATGCTCTCTTTGAGACTATCAAATATTCATCTACTACAGGGAAGGGGTATATTATTTTTTAAAAATAGGTGTATTTTGATGTGGACCATTTTTAATGTCTTTATTGAATTTGTTACAATACCACTTCTGTTTCATCTTAGCTCTCTAACTAGGGATGGAACCAACATCCCCTGCATTGGAAGTCTTTTTTTTCTTTAAACAGAGTATGCATGGGTGCTAAGTCACTTCTGACTCTTTGCAACTCTGGACTGTAGCCTGCCAGGCTCCTCTGTCCAGGGCCCAGGCAAGGATACTGGAGTGGGTTGCCATGCCCTCCTCCAGGGTGGAAGGCGAAATCTTAACCACTATCGTATCCTGCCAGGGAAGTCCCGGGAAGAAGTATATTCTAACAGTAAAGTCACTAAATATCATGTCACAACAAATTTGAGAATTTTTGTAAGAAAAAATGAACCTCAAAATCTAGACCCTCCTACATTAACAGAAAGATGGTCACAACATGAATAAATGTTATCTAGTTCCCTGTTCACTCTTAAAAATTTTTGTATGTTAAATTTCTAAGTTTTACAAAAGTGGCAATCATAGTCTGATAAACTGATGTATCTGACTTACGTTTTATGATTTCCTTATACTGACTAAGTCACTTCTACTTGCCAGTTTGTTGTAACTTCTAACCACTTCCATATTTTCAGAAATTTAGATGTATAAATTTCTGCCAATGTAGACTTCTAGTTATCTCAAATTAGTGTAAATTCTAAAGAACTCTATCAATTCACAATGCCGCTTTCTTTCCTTTCCTTCTGCTTTAGAAATGAACAGTGCTAATTTGTGTTAGATTATTATATGTTGACTTCACACACAAATATCTAACCAAGTATCATGGAATATGCTAATAATAAAAACCTCTGCATTTCGCCTAAAGGGAAAAGCAGATTCTTCTTCATATCCTGCCACTCTAGATAATGGAAGCCCAGATACACACTTTGATTTTGTGGGTTGGCAAGTATGTTTGACCCAGCACAGCAAAAAAAAGAAGGTAAGTCCAGTTTCATATATATAAGGGTCTGGTTAATTCAAGGTAATTCTTCTTGTTTCTTTCCTTTCCCCTCTCCTATCCCTAATTTCTCATCTTTCTTGCTGTTAGTCCATTTCATCAGTGTTAACAATTTTGTAGGCAACAGGTAAAAAAAAGTAATCTTACGGGTTTGAGTCTAAAACTAATTATCCTGGGATAAATGAAAAGCTCAAATAAGTCTTTCATTTAAATATGGGCACTTCCAACAGTTATTCAAACATAAAATAACAAAGTTCATTGGTGAATAAGTAATAATTCTTTTGTATTAAAATGTTATTTCTATTTAGAGCTCCAGCATTTTTAGTTTAAATAAAATTTGATTAAATGGACATATCTGACAAAAGACAGAAGATAACACACATTTTGCAGGTGTAATAGTATATAAAAATCAACACTAGGATGCCAATATAATAAACAGGGTAAAGAATAGTCTTTTCAACAAATGGTGCTGGAACAACTTGGTCATCCACATGTAAAAGAATAAAACTGGACCTCTCTCTTACACCATACACAAACATTACCTGGCTACAAAAAGGAATGGAGTACTGATACATGCCACAACATGAGTGAACCTTGAAAGTGCTAAGTGAAAGAAGTCAATCACAAAAGACCAAGTATTATGACCTCATTCATAAGAAATGTCCAGAATAGAAAAATCTATAGAAAAGTGTTTGCCCAGGACTGGAAGTGTGAGTGAAGGATATACTCAATGCTAATGAGTATAAGGTTTCTTCTTGGGGTGACAAGAACTTTCTAAAAATTAGATTGCAGTAATAATTTAAAACTGTGAATATATTTAAAAAAAAAACCACCCCACTGAACTGTACACTTTAAATAGGTGAGCTTTGGGGATTTCCCTGGCAATCTAGTGGTTAAGACTGTGCTTCCAATGCAGGGGGCTCAGGTTCCATCTCTGGTCAGAAAACTAAGATCCCACAGGCTGTGCAGCAAGGGCAAAAACAAAAAAGGGGAGGGGGAGGGGGAACTTTACAGTATGTGAATTATATCTTAATAAGACAGTTAGAAAAGTTTCCCAGTAGAAGCACAGCAGTAAAAGGAACAATTCTTGCAATTATATGACCTACTAATAATTGTCCTTTGCCTGATAGCTCAGATGGTAAAGAATCCGCCTGCAATGCAGGAAATCCCAGTTAGATTCCTGGGTTGGGAAGATCCGCTGGAGAAGGGATAGGCTACCCACTCCAGTATTCTGGCCTGGAGAATTCCATGGACTGTACAGTCCATGAGGTGGCAAAGAGTCAGACAGGAGACTTTTACTTTCACTTTCTGATGGCTCAGTGGTAAAGAATCTGCCTGTCAATGCAGGAAATGAAGGTTCAATTCCTGGGTGGGGAAGATCCCCTGAAGAAGGAAATGGCAAACCACTCCAGTAAGCTTGCTTGGGAAATCCCATGCACAGAGGAGCCTGGTGGGCTACAGTGCATGGGGTTGCAGAGAGTGGGACATGACTGAGCGACTAAACAACAATAGTAATGGTCCAATCAATAGCTTTCATTAGTTTTGTGTTTAGTGTATGGATGTTGGCTGTTATCATATCCATGTTCTCTTGCGCCTCTCTCCCTGTCAAAACCTGACACATTTCAAAAATATCTTATCATTTAAGTATAATTTAAACAAATTTCCAGATTCTTATCTTTTCTGAGGTTATTCCATCTCCACCGCTGAAATGGAACACTGAGCAGTATTTACACCTGCAGGGAAAATGATTGGTATCTTCATCAGGAAATATTGTAGTCCTTTTACTTTCCAAGTGAAATGGTCCAGTGATAATAAGTTCATGGAAAAAAGGTTCATGTTGAGATAAGCATGGACAAACACCTTTTCACTTCCTTGATTTTCTGAATATTAAACAGATAACTAAGTTCCAGTATTCAGAGGAGTTGGTTTTTACAGGGTCGAGACCAGATTATTCTTATGCATGTATTAAGCATAGATTAAAATGTACTATATGCCATCTCTTATGTGTGATTTGCAAAATACACATTTTGATTAAAAACAGAAAAGAAAGCATCCAAGAACCAAAGTCTCTTAAAGGGGTAGCCTTAACAGCAACTATAAATGTTCAAGCTCCCAGCTTATTGATTCGATTTTTAAAAATCCATTTCAATGGGATCTACTAATGCCTTTTTTTTCACAATTTATAAATTTATTTAACAGAGTAGAGTCCCTAGTGTAAGAAGGATATGGGTTTAAATCTCGATTCATCCATTTATTAGTTATATGATCACGTGTTACCTAACTCAGGTTCCACTGTTTGCCAATACTTGAGAGACAAGTATTGGCTGGAAAGGGACAGTTGCTTTATTCAGGAGGCCGGCAATCTGAAGAAGGCGAACTGGTGTTCAACAGCCAACTCTGAAGAGTCTGCTCAACTATGCAAATTTTTAAAGGTCTAATTTCTTTCCTTTTGTGAAAACATAACATTTCTACCTTACTCCAGCAAAGAACAGGGACTTGCCTTTTCTTTTCATCAGCAAATAGATGCTGACAAGAAAAACTAGGGGAATACTCTATGAGAAATAATTCCTCCTATTCAACTTGCCACCCATTAGTTAACAGAGTTTCAAAACAAAAGCCAACGTTGTGGTAGAATCTAACCCAGATCAGAATGGCCCCCTAACAGTTATTCACTTCTACCGCATCTTTAAAATAGGGGTAACACTGACCTAGTCACTGGAAAGATTAAATTGGGTAATGTTTGTAAAGCACTCAACACAGTACCTAACACAACCCTGGGAGAGATGAGAGAATTCTCTATATAATATAGAAGCTGCAAACAGCTGAGCGCCTGACACCTCCGGAGACTTGTTAGGGCCTAGTTTAACCTGGTGTAAAGGCCCTAAATTAGCAGTCAGGGAACCAGAAGTATAATCTTGGCAAGTCTTTCATACTTAGCCTTTTCGTCCAAAAAAACTGGGATGGATGAAAAATAAACATGAATCTGCCCCTCTCGCATCCCAGGCTTATTTGTGAGGATCCACTAGATCAGCGTGAGCTCCCCAAGACCCAGGCCCTGGAAAGGTTACCCTTCCGGTCCGAAAGGCCCCTGGGGGCGAACGGGTCGGATACAACCGGCCCCCTCCCTGGGCCCAAGGCTGCAGCCGCCGGCGCCGGGATCGCTAGCGGGCGTCGGCCGACGTCCGCGCGCCCCGCGTGTGGGCCTCTAGATGCTCCGGGACCACGCCCTGCCTCGCACACGCTCGCAGCCTGGCTTCGCCCAGGCCCGCCGGGCAGAGGAAGAAGGGAGAGGAAGAGAAAGAGGCGGGGGAGGGGGGGGTGGGGAGAAGAAGGGGAAGGGGGAAGGGAGAGGAGGAGATCATTGCGCCCACCGGCAGCACGAGTATCTCCGAGCGAGAGGATCTACCCGAGCGCTGTCCGGCCGAGGGGCGGCTGTAAGCAAACCCCGTCCCCGAACGGAGGCCCGGGTTCGGGGGCGCGCCTGTGCCGCCCCCGCCGAAGGTCCGGGGCCGCGCGGCCAGGCGGGGGCGCGCGGGGGATCCCTGCCTCACGAGCCGGGCCGCAGCCCGGGAGCGCCGGCCCCGCGCGAGCCCGGGCGGCGGCGGGACGCGGCCGGGAGCGGGCTCTTAACGGGCTTCGGGCGCACAGGGGCCGCCGCGGGGAAGGCGGGTCCAGGTGGCGGGAGGCCGCGCACGCACATAACGGGGCGCCGGTCTGAGCCTCACCCAGGATCTCCTGGCGCCGAGTAGCGTGCGGCTGATCGGTGTAGACCCACTCGAAGTCTTCCCGCGAAACGCGGTTCCCCATGGCGGCGGCGGCTCGCGGGCCAGCTGCGGGCTCTCGCTCCTATCCACTCTCCTCCTGGGCGGAGGCGAAAGCGAAGGCGGCCGCTCCGCAACTCGTGTCAGCCGGCGGCCGAGGGGCGGGAGCGGAGACGCAGGCCGGGGCGGAGTCCCGAGGCCCCGCCCCCCGGCCTGGGTGCGGTGGGCGGGCGCCCCCTCCGCGGGGCGGGATTCCGTTGCTCCGCGGCGCTGGTTTCTTGCCGTTTGTGTGACTCGGCGACTAGCCGGAATGCCGAATTCCTGCAAGTCCCAGCTCCCCGAGGCCTGTCCTGCGCGGTGCTGGTGCCCGACCCCGGGAAAAGGTTTTTGAAAGAGGCAGGAAAGGTCTCAAGTGAAATGAGACCGCGCTTTAGCGCCTCGCGAGGAGGCTGGAGCTTGAACCCAAGAATCGTTGGTCAGTAATCAGTTGCAACTTGCCCAAGTTTTGATTTTGAAAAGCAAATTATTTACTGAGCTGTGTTTGGCTGCCTCCTCGAAATAATACCTCAGGGAAAATGCGGAGCGTGTGGTGATTAAGAGCCAATTAAGAAAAAGGGAATCAGTCACTCTTGTTGAGAGTGAAAAATCATGAGGAATTTGTTGTTCTGCCTGAATTATTCTAGTGTGACCATTTCTCTTGTAAGTTCATTGCTCAGCTTTACATCTGTCACAGGTCGTTTGAACCACCGCCTCTTCCTGAAAGGACATTTTTTCTCAAAACTAGTTGGCGCTTCTCCAATAAAAAAGAAACTGACTAAGATTACAAAAAGGAAGATAACCAACAGGATATTCTCGGTAAAACACCACATACACACATGCATACAACCACAACCAAGTGTGATCAAATACCTAGAACCAAATGCTAATGGATAGAAAACAGAAGAGAGGAGCACGTTAAACTACACCACAGAGATAGAATCAGCAAGATCTGACTGTGGGAAATTCTGTAGGACAACACCCTGAGTACTTTTCTAAATAAAATGCAAGGGAAACAAAGAAAAGAGGGAAAACCGACAGATTAAAAGGGCTGCAAAAAAAAGTCAACCAACTGCAATTTATTGATTTTGTATTTTAAGTCTTTTACAAACTGTATTTACAGCATTTTAGTTTTGCGTGTGTGTGTGTGTGTGGCTGTTCTGGGTCTTCCTTACTTTGCGGGCTCTTCTCTAGTTGCAGTGAGCAGGCTTCTCACTGTGGTGTCTTCTCTTGTTTCAGAGAACAGGCCCTAGGGCCACCCCCCCAGCCCCCTCGGGGCTTGGGTAATTGCCACTCCTCAGCTGTAGAACACAGGCTCAATAGTTCTGGCAAGGGCTTAGTTGCCTGAGGCATGTGGGATCTTACTGGATCAGAGATGGAACATGTGTCTTCTGCCTTGGCAGGTGGATTCTTTACCACTGAGCAGCCAGGGAAGCCCACAGCTTATTCATCTTATTTAGATTGTGATTCAAATTGTGGAAAGGTTTAAAAATTGACATGTGATCATTTAATTCAGATATTGATTAGATATGTGGTGATATTGAGGAGTTGTTAATTTAACTGTGATAATAGTGTTATATTATGGTTACAGTTTTTGTGTTTTTTTTTATGGTTACAGTTTTGTTTTTTTAAGTCCATATCTGTTAGTGTTTCATACCAGAGGGAAAAACCTCAAACAAACTAAAACAAACAAATAATGGTACATGCAGTTAACCATACAATATTATATTATGCCTCACTAAAAATCAATGAGGAAGGTCTCTGTGTGTTAATATGAATTAATCTTCAAAATATGCCATTAAATGCAAAACACTGAGCAGGAGCGGGGAGTGTATACATAATGCATACATTATATGTTTTTCCTTGGATATGCACAAAATAGGTTTAGAAAGACACTCAAGAAATGATTATATTTTAGGAGAGTAAGTAGAAATCTGAGGGAAAGTGTTGGGAGGGAATATTTTCACTTAGTTCTTTTCACCTTTTACATTTGAATTGAATGTGGATTTTGACATTCTTAGGAAGACGAGAAGAACTCAGTTACAGGATTTTTGTGGAGATTAACAAATATTTTAGTTACCCATAGGCAGGCACATGCACTCAGCAGTGGCCACAGGACTGGAAAAGATGAGTTTTCATTCCAGTCCCAAAGAAAGGCAATGCCAAAGAATGTTCAAACTACTGCACAATTGGCACTCATCTCACATGGTAGCAAAGTAATGCTCAAAATCCTTCAAGCTAGTCTTCAACAGTGTGTAACCAAGAACTTCCAGAGGTACAAGCTGGATTTAGAAAAAGCAGAGGAACCAGAGATCAAATTGCGGACATCCATTGGATTGTTGAAAAGGCAAGGGAGTTCCAGAAAAACATCTATTTCTGCTTTATTGACTATGCCAAAGCCTTTGTGTGGATCAAAATAAACTGTGGAAAATTCTTCAAGAGATGGGAATACCAGTCTACCTGACCTGCCTCTTGAGAAATCTATATTCAGGTCAGGAAGCAACAGTTAGAACTGGACATGGAACAACAGACTGGTTCCAAACAGGGAAAGGAGTACGTCAAGGCTGTAGATTGTCACCCTGCTTATTTAACTTCTATGCAGAGTACATCATGCGAAATGCTGAACTGGATGAAGGACAAGCTGGAATCAAGACTTCCAGGAGAAATATCAGTAACCTCAGATATGCAGATGACACCACCCTTATGGCAGAAAGCAAAGAACTAAAGAGCCTCTTGATGAAAGTGAAAGAGGAGAGTGAAAGTTAGCTTAAAACTCAACATTCAGAAAACTAAGATCATGGCATTCGGTCCCATCACTTCATGGCAAATAGATGGAGAAACAATGGAAACAGTGAGAGACTTTATTTTCTTGGGCTCCAGAATCACTGCAGATGGTGACTTCAGCCATGAAATTAAAAGACGCTTGCTCCTTGGAAGAAAAGCTATGACCAACCTAGACATCATATTAAAAAGCAGAGACATTACTTTGCTAACAAAGGTTCATCTAGTCAAAGCTATGGTTTTCCAAGTAGTCATGTATGGATGTGAGAGCTGGACTATGAAGAAAGCTGAGCACTGAGGAATGGATGCCTGTGAACTGCAATGTTGGAGAAGACTCTTGAGAGTCTCTTGGACAGCAAGGAGATTCAACCAGTCAATCCTAAAGAAAATCAGTCCTGAGTATTCGTTGGAAGGACTGATGCTGAAGCTAAAACTCCAATACTTTGGCCACCTGATGCAAAGGGCTGACTCATTGGAAAAGACCCTCATGCTGGGAAAGATCAAAGGCGGGAGAAGGGGATGACAGAGGATGAGACGGTTGGATGGCATCACCGACTTGATGGACATGAGTTTGAGTAAGCTCTGGGAGTTGGTGATGGACAGGGAAGCCTGGTGTGCTACAGTCCGTGGGGTCACAAAGAGTCAAAAAGGACTGAGTGACTGAACTGAACTGATGCACGTACATACGTGTTTCTTTAGTTTGGGCTTTTAAAAGATCTTATTGTGTTGTCTTACTTTCATACCTTTTTCTTACTTAAAAAAAAATTCTGAATGTCTTTTGCTGTGGGTCGTATATACTTGTACACTCTTTAAAAGATTTATTTATTTTTGATTACACTGGGTCTCGGTTGCTGCAGACGGGCTTTCTCTAGTTGCAGCAAGAGGGAGCTGCTCTCTGGTTGCAGTGCTCAGGCTTCTCATTGCGGTGGTTTCTCCTGTTGTGGAGCATGAGCTGCAGCCCACAGGGGCTTCAGTAGTTGCCACTCCCAGGCTCACAGCTGGCTCAGCAGTTGTGTCTTTCAGGCTTTGTTGCTCTGCGGCAAGTGGAATCCTCCTGGACCAGGGATTGAACTGTTGCCCCTATGTTGCGAGGTGGATTCTTAACCACTGGCCCACCAGGGAAGCCCTCGTTCTCTTAACTCTTGCCAGGGACTTTGTCTTAAAACAATCATACCAGACATTCTAGAAAGGCACTACCATCCAGTCTGCTCTCAAAAGTTGTGGGTAAATCCCAATAGCTCCTGAAGATTATTGGGAAATGTCAGACAATGGAGTTTCACAAAAGGATAATCATATTTTTGAAATCAAGGTGTTCTTCCATTTGAATTTTTCATTTTCCATTTTTAAAAAAATTTAAAGGGAATTCATTTTTAAACAGTGAAGCATAATTGATTTACAATATTGTTAGTTCATTTCAGTTTATGATAGTTTGTTATACAACAAAATGATTCAGCTATATATATTTATCAGACTACTTTCCCTTTTAAGTTATGACAAGATATTGAATGTAGCTCCCTATGTACATTCTTTTTCTAAAAATATTTATTTATTTATTTGGCTATCCTGGGTCTTAGATGCAGCACGAAGAATCTTTGACCTTCATTGCAACGTGCAAATTCTTAGTTGCAGCAAGTGGGATCTAATTCCCTGACAAGGAAACCTGCATTGGGAGCATGGGAGTCTTAGCCACTGGACCACTAGGGAAATCCCCCTTGTGTAAATGGTTGTTGAGTATCTGTTTTACATATAGTAGTATGTATTAATCCCATACTCCTCATTTATCCTCCCTCCACTTTACCCTTTGGTAGCCACAAGGTTGTTTTCTATGCTACAAGTCTGTTTCTGTTTTGTTAATAGATTCATTTGTACTATTTTTTAGAATCCACATGTAAGTGATATCATATAATATTAGTCTTTCTCTTTCTGACTTACTTCACTTAGCATGATAATTTCTAGGTCCATCATGTTGCAAATACAATATTTCATTCTTTTTTTTTTTTTTGGCTGAGTCATATCCCATTGCATATAAATACCACACCTTGTTTATCCATTTATCTGTTGATGGATAATTTGCTTCCATGTCTTGGCTATTGTACATAGTGCTGCTGTGAACTTTGGGGTACATGTATCTTTTTGAATTAGAGCTTTCATCTTTTATGGATATATGTCCAGGAGTGGGCTTGTTGGATCAAACGGTAGCTTTATTTAAAATTTTTTTTTTAAGGAACC